TACTATTACCATCACCACGCCCATTCCGCGCCGTCCCACGTCCACCCCGTACCAGCGCCATCACTACTAACGTCGCCACCGGCAGCTTCTCTTCTGCAGACACCTCCTCCTCCCCCTCCGCCGCCGCTGCCGGTCGCCGAACCCGGCCCCTGCGGGGACGCCGTTTGTAGGTCACGTGGCCGCGGATGTGGGTTAAGGAAACTCCGCGACGGGGGCGGCGGCGGCGGCGGCGGCGGCGCAGGCGAACGCGGAGCCCGCTCTTCCTCCCACTCACCGCGTAAAAGTGAGCACAAGGCATAGCAGCCGCGGACGCAGCTGCTGACGCTACAAAGAGAGCCCGCTTGCTCGTCGCCTGGGATTGTCTTTGGTTCAAAAGACGAAATTCGGGCCATTAGGTCTGCTCTTCCGCTTGGTCACTTTATTTCAAATGGCAGTTGCGAAGAGCATGAGAAGTCATGGTGATTTGTTTTCCCTGCGCGTGAAAGAACTCTTGCACGAGTAGATCATGGACATGAGGTTTTCATCAGAAGAAAATAGTGATATCAGTTACGAAAGATCTGCCGAATAATATGCATATTTGCTGTAGGGTGTGTGAGTTTCTTAACCAATGACAACATTATTTATCACCGGAATGATCTGCTATCAATGGACGTGATTTTCAGATGAAAAGAAAAAACGACTATTTGAGAGCCGTAATGTATTCTTTAGTTAAAATTTTTATCATCAGTGTCATAAACTTTGTAACGAACTGTTAAGAGGCGTTTTTAAAATGAACACCTAACGTTAAAGAGGTTTCATCAAAGTTATAAATAAAACACGTGGAGAGGAAAAAATGCAGCTTTCTTGCAAGACAACAAACTGTACATTTAGAATACTCGTGCTTCAAAATCCTAAAATTAAATTTTGCTATCCTTACGCTGATAACATTATTCTTCAAAATGAGGACTGATCCAACTCAATTACCTCCAAAAATTTCAAGAAGTACTTGCTCTCAAATTTTAGATTTAACTTCGTATTATTAGACTGTTCTTACTACGCACTTGCTGTCTTGAACAGATAGTTACCCACGAAAAGTTTTCAATAATTACTGGTGACTATGAACAATTAATTTAATGATAAAATAATTTCTTATCCTACTACAATGATTAGTCTAAACTAGTAAGCTTTATCTTGGACCACAGTAACTGGATAAGATTTAAATAGTTGTATGTTATTCTCTTATAAATTAGATAATGGATAAGTTACCAAAGTTATTGCACTGAAATTTACATCTAATATACAAACCAAATTAATATCACGTAAACCAACCAAATACTTCAAGTTTACTTGATTTACTTGATGTTTGCCTTACATTTGCCCACAAAATAAATCTATGTAGTACTCATGTTTCGATTTGAGTCTCCTCTAGTGACATCAGTATATTACGAAAAACATAACAAAAAGAATAGAAATAGGACAATGCATGTATTTGAAAAAATAGCCTCATGTCACCCCGAAATTGTAGGAACTTAATGGTCCAATGCCACGGCTGAAGTCTGGTATATGCACAAAAAGATACTTCGTATTCAGTATACGAAGATAAGAATTAAATGATTTGCGAATAATTTGCATATTGTAAATAGCATGTCGACAATTTGACGTAGTTCCGATCTAGATTTGTACGTGATTCCAAAGTGTACGTACCACCTTTTGTTCGTGGACAAAACTGAAGTGGCAGTCGGCCGCCGCGCCCAATGGCCTGTGGCTCCGCAGGCCCCGCGCGCGTCGCCATCGTCCTGAGACGCGTCGCTGACGCCGACAGCGAACGCGGCCGCTGCGTAAATAACGCTTGTTTTCCTCGCCGCTGTGCCTCGCGCTCTGGGAGGCCGAGAATGTCGTTTCTACAAACAATTAAATGCGCAAAGAAAAAATTCATGAGTGTTATTTTCACTTCTATAATTCTTTTTCATCTCATATTTCCATTGAATCATTACAAATAAAGTGTCATTAGAAAGATTTTTCTCGAAGAAGTCGTTTTTGATATTTCTTTTACAAGTTGCCCTCACTTCAAGCAAAAGTATGAGAAAATTACTCTTGTATTTACATAAGTGTGACTTACCTTTGATAAATACAAGTACTTAACTTTTTAAAAAAAATTATGTTGCCTGTGTTTTGTTCAGTTAACTTTTTAAAACTTTCAAAAAAGCAGAGGAAGTATCGAAAAGTAGGTCTTATATTATTAAGAGTTAAAACATAATTAGAAGGGCGTGGTTTTATAAAGCTCCCATTGCTCTACTCGAGGGGATTAAATCCAATAATTGGGAGCCATTTTTCAGAAAATTTTGAAAATGTAAGGACTCAAAAAATCTATTTCAAATTCGTAGTGTCTCGAGTTCGGCTAAATGGTTTGGGAAACATACATTTTGAAGAAAGTATGTGTAGGCGCTTGCATTAATCACTGGCAGGTGGACGGACGGAAGGTTTTTTGCCGTAAACCAACTTTTGGATATGAATACGTGAATTCTGACAACACATGTTAGAGAAAATATTCTATTGTACTACATATATCGGTAAGATTTATTCGATATTAGTGCCGCACAGCAGGAGATTTTTCTGCCGAAAAATCACACAAACTAGTTTAGATTGTATCATATGTGACATCATCTGGCGATAGTCTACCTGGTTTGATAAATTGAACGCATGATTCCATTTGGTGATTGGTTCGGAAGATACGTATCAGGTTTAGAACGCCTTTCTCCTGCAGAACTACGACTCTGCGCTAAAACACGTGAACTAGTTTTCAGGGATTACCCATGTCTCAGATTCCAAAACACGAGTTCATTGCTCTAGTGCTGATGAAATCAGGTCCCGTTCTACATTATCATTTTAGCTGTATGTGTCATCGGGGTAACCCTCGAGTTTGTTTCTTTCGGGAATTTGATCTCCGAGATGTTCCGGCTTATCTGGCCTTATTCCTTATTTTTCTGCGGTTTTCCATATCATCTTCCAACGGTACTCGTAACTGGTTTTCGATTGTTGTGAAGGAAGAATTTTGCATGTGAGATCAGAAACGATCTTTTTCTTTTGCATTGATTCGTCAAGGTGATGTTTCATACCAACTAGAGCAGGATAAAACCCATTCTTTTATGATCGTTTTCGTTGGCTTGAACTTGCAGATCGAGCGATCCTAGTGTGCGTGTAAAAGGTAACCTTCTCAAGGATCACTAATACCGTTCATACCCAACTGTTCTCGACAGTATCGGCAGAACGTGCTTTTAGCACACTTTTCTGGTAGTTACGGTGTGAAATGTGAGAAAAAGAAAGTACTTATGAGAAAAAGTAATAGTACTCTTACAAAGGAGAAAATAATGTAGTGCAGAATTTTAATTAATTTTAATAATATTTTTGTACTCGTTTTAGAACCTGACATCACTTCGTGTTCTCGCAATTTTATTTGCAAAAATATGCAGAGATGTGTAACACGCTTTGTGCAATGGAATTTGAATTAAGTTTTCGTCGTAGAACACGCCTTACTAGATTGTATATGTAGTTTGATTACGTTACGCCCCTCCATTGAAAGAGGAATATATAGTGTGTTTTTAAAATATTTAATAGAAACATTTGAGCGAGAAACGGTGCGGAGAGGTCTGGTGAGCCTCCAGTATTCGTTATCCTTCGTCGTCGTTTCGTCCGCGAAGGGCGCACTCCGTAGAAGACCTTATGCATTCGCCGAGACATAGAGATTTGGGCGCGCTGTTTTTTCTTGCTGAGAGCGATCGGAAATGATTGCCTTAGTCCGGCTCTAATATCGGTGTTAAGGTGATCTCCTTGATGCACGGGCCTGCTGTGTATAGTGTCCCTGAAATGCAACTCCTTTTGTGCGATATTACATAATTCGGTAGATAAAATGTATACATTTTGAAGCAACTATAGTTTCAAGGAAGATAAACCGAGGATTTAGCAAATATATTGATTCCAAAAGGTATGATACAAACCTCTCAAAAGATAATAGTATGGCGTTTCTATTTGTTTGTATTTGATTTCTAGCAAATTTCCTTTTTATCTCTTTTGACTACGAATAGTATTTAAATTCTGTTGAGATGGTTTCCTCATTTTAATTTTTTTCTTAATGTTCGGATATAGAATTAATGATTATTTTTTTCTTTCTTGTATTGAAATGGTTGGGTATAAGTTCAAATACCATTTATCAGCGAGTTCAATTTATTTATTTATTTACGTCACATCAGTTAAAGACTATGTGTGGTGTGCTATGGGGAGAAGTTAATTTGAAATTACATTTATGTTCAGAAGCAAAACAAGGGGCCATCTCAGCATTTGCTCGAGGATCAGAGAAACTGGGCGAAAACCTGATCGAGATGGGAGTCATTGACCCAAAAGCTGAAGTACAATAATCGTTACACGTTGTTTAGAATTATACAATCCAAATGGTAAATAATACACTAAATTCGTTGTCAAAATTAATATTACTTCCCCTTTGAATGCTCGGTATAGTCTCTAATTGTATTGAAACAGTTGTGCAGCAGAAATATTTTACTTGGGACTTAAACTTTTGTATCGAATTTAATCGTTTAATGTCATATGGCAAGGTGTTGTAAAATAATGTACATGTATGTGAATTTTTTTGTAGTGAGCTGTTGATACTGTCATCTGATGAATATGATTGCTACGTCAAGTGGCGTAGTTATAGACATCATCGTTTGCTGAAAATATATTCCCGCCCTTTAGTATCATTTTTTTTACAAAAAACACTTCATATGTGAAGACACAAGAATCACGTGGGCGGGATTTGCTTATTATTCGTACAATTCTTTTTTGCAATATAAATGTCTGGGAGCTATAAGATGTATTTCCGCATAATATTATGCCATATCTCAGGCGGGAATGAACATTCGCGAAATATACACAACGAGCAGTATGGAGGCAACTGAACTTGAAAGAATTCTGAAAGTGTAGCATAAAGCACTTTATTTAGTGTTTTCGTGTCGATTCCTTTGTTTCAGAAGATGACAACCTCGTCGATTTTCGCGAAAGATTGAGCAGAATTCAAATGAACGAGAAAAATGGTAAGGTAAGAATAATAGTTTTTTTCATTATCCACTAAGAGGTTTTTTATTTATTGACCACAAAATATATAAAATACTGTTATGGTTACCATAAATTTCGTTTAGTATTTAGCTCTCCGTTCACTAACATTTCCTCCACATATAACAGAAAGTATGTAAAGCTTCAAAAATAGATAATATTTTGACGGCCCTATGGGTGTTGGTGTTGCTGATATCGAAAAATTGTCGTTTTTAAAAAGTCTACATATGTGTGTGCCTGACAAAGCTTTTAGACAAATAGTTGGATTCAGGTAACAAGTCGAAATTTTTGCGATCTGAACTCTCTAACAGAATTTATGTTTAGCCGTTCCCGTTGATTGTGGCGTTATGCGAAAATGAACACAACGCTCTCGCTCCAATTTAATAATCACTACGAGTCCCACAGCGACAATTCAGTCCTTCTTTCCTCGCGAGGCAAGGGCCACACGTTGAATTGCAGAAGCCGTTGGTCGGAAGGCAGGTCATGCGTGTGACGCGATGTGACGCCTCCCCGGCGCAAACATTTTCACTGTTACCTTCGCAAAACACGCGAGACGCTCTGTCAACAGCCAGGTGAAGTGTGTGCGGAGGCTCGCTGCACGTAAAGCAATGCTTATGCTGCCTCAAGTCAGAAAAGCATTCCTTGGTAGGAATACAGTTGGGGGCGTTGGAAGGATGTAAGAGATGTGTGCGCGAGATACGCCATGCAATAAAGATTTTGGAGACAGGAACGAAAAAAAACGTGGCTAATGAAGCTTGTTGAACAGTCCAGTTGATGTTAATTTGGTGACATTGAAATGAGTGCATTTTTAAAGTTTTAATAGTAAATGTACACACACACACACATGTATAATATACGTGTACATCTGACACTATACCATCCATTCCTCAACAGGTATTCAATAAAATAAGCTTAACACGAATGAGCACAATTTTATTACCAGTTTCTTGAGTGGCGAAGCGCTTGCTGACTAACTTCCGCGATAAAATCTCTAATGTAATTACGAATACTGCGTCCCTCGAAAGAGGCATGCTTTACGATTGCTAAGAAAATAAGAGAGTATAGCTCGCCTCATTAAATATATAACATACAATAAATCTCTTTTTCGACATTTTCTCTCTGAAAGTGTGTGTTAATTACAACCATTTTGAGCGTTACATGCCTCTTAGGACTGCCTTGTATGTATTCATTTTCATGTTTTGTGACACTTCCAGAAGTGTTTTCGATTAAGACGTTATGAATCTTAAATTGCGTTATGACTACTGCACTGTTCATCTGCGAGTCTAAAACAAAACCATCAGTCGTCGAGACAGTTACAAAACTTCGTGCCAGGAGACAGTCTTTCAGCACCTCTTCCGATGGTACAGGGTTGCTGCAGCAGCTACCCTACGTTCTTGTAGTACCGCATTCCGTGCTAATCGCTTGCGCAGTGGAAAGTCCGAACACAGCAGCAGCAGCAGCAGCCGCTGTCGCGCCGTGGCGGAGGGTGTGGACGCAGTAGCGTGTAGTGGAGGGGGAGGGGAGGAGCGGCGATTTGGGCGAGGCTTCTGAGCTCCCCTATCACAGCTGCCATCGCACTCACGCGGCCGCCCCCACCCTGCCACCAACTCTTCCGTGCTCGTTTCACCGTGCTCGTTGCTTCCTCGCCTTCGCCATTGCCGTCACACCCGCCCTCCGCCTCCACCTCCCCCTCCGTCCCCGCCCCCGCCACCGCCACTGCCTTGACGTCAGCCACGAACTGCGCAGAAAAACCTGTTAAGCGGCTATTCCGCGGAGATTTCGCGCTCACGGTAGGCGGGTTTACATTGAAGCATTTACTGAGAGAATGTTTCAAGAGAACGAAAAGTTCCATTTTGTCAGTGTTAGTCATGAACTGCTTCTGAAATTAAATTTTAGAGCAATTTGTTGTATATGTACCGTTTTGATAAGGACGTTTGCATTCATTCATAATACATCGCATTCGATGTGTCGTATGAATATGAAATGTAGAACGGAACCACGACTTTATGAAATCATCATTTTGTTATTTTTGGAATTCCTGGATTATTTTCATTGATGATGATTACAAATAATTTAGAGATAGTTAAAACTAATTAATTGAAATTTATGAAACATAACTGGTAATTCATATTAAATGACGTGTCCTAGTATTTTGCCTTGAATATTAAAAACGAATATTTATATTGATAAGTGCTACACTTCAGAATTAGTTTCGTTTATAACCATTTTTTCCCTGACATTAAATATTTTAATGTGACATTTGTACGAAAAATGTTATTTTGGTAGAGCACATTTTTATCTCACATCTTCAAAGGACATCAATGTTTTCGTTGAGTTCTGGTCTAAAAAGTGTTGATATTGTGCAATATGGTTTTTCTTGATATAGATTTGTAAAAAATTGGATTTTGGGATAATGAATGGATAAGTTAGTTTATGAAGATCGTAATACGTGGGTAATGTTAAGAAACGTTTTATTACTTATATTTTAAACATACAACTTCAGCCACCGCATTGAATTTCTCATTCGCCACGTAAACCGCTTTCAAAACCAGTGAACAAAACTAGGAAGTAGACACATCATGTATTGCATGACACTCGTAAGGCGCCTGCGCTATCAGAACCATATTTATAAATACGCGCCAAGTGAGTACGTTCACTGAGATTCAGTGTGTGGTAGTACGCGAGTCGGGAGATAAACACCCAGGCGCCCCAAAACAAAAACAGCCGAGGCCCTGGACCGCTCCGCTCCGCGCCGTGCCGCCCCGCCCAAGGACCAAGCGCTGACACGCGCCACCGGGGTTCGGCCCGGCCCTCACCTCTCGCTGCCTGGCGCCACCTGCACGGGCCGCGGCGCGCACGCCCGGGAGGGCGGGAGCCCCGTCCGGTCGCGTGCTTCCTTTCGTCACGTGCGCTCACTGGGTCGCTGGGTCCGCCGCCGCTGCCGCCGCGCGCGCGCTAAAAATAACGCGCAAGGCGCGGGCGCGAGCGCGCGCGCGGCTGGGGGACGGGGCGATCAGCTGAGCGTCCAGGCGCCGCGGCGCCCGCGGCGATAAGCGCGCGCAAAGCGGTTACGCGCGCGCAGCCAGGGTCGACGACCGACCGCGCCTGCGCCGCCGCCGCCGCCGCCGCCCAGTGATCCAACGCGGTTTCTTACGCCACAGCTCGTGCGGGTGCTCACCGCTGCCGTCGCCTCTGCCCCGCCTCGAGCACGTTAAAATACTCGTTGAATTGGTTCTATCACAATTCATAGTCTCCCTTTGGCGAAATAAACGGACATTGTTAACAACCATTAATATTGATTGTTAGTAAATAAATAATTTAAGTGAATAAAAATTATTGATTTTTACCAAAGAATTTTTATTTCGCCAATGCGAGACTATCAACATTAAAATAATTACAGAACTATGAATTTGAGGCTCAGAAAATGACAATCCATGAGATGTCAGAAAAAGTATATATGGATACGTGAAAACAAGTATATTGATAATGTAAACTATTACATTGTGTAAAGTAACTCCAAATTTTGTTGTTATCGGTCATAAAAAATATTATTTTACATATTACTGTATGCTCTTTTGATTATAGACATTCTCTTCGGAATTCCCAAAAGACAAAAAAATACAATGTTATTTCTACTACGGGAAAAATGTAAAGTAATATTAAACAGTTTACTGCATTAATAATCATATTCTCTTATATCTTTGTGTAAGAATATAATTATGGATAAATAAATAACGAGTTGATCTAAAATTAACCTATCTGAAAACAAAGTAGTAATTCTTCACTTCTTTTTGCTTGGTTATTGTGAGTTTTTTTCTGGTTCATTTGTCTTATGTTATAAATAGATATGAAGTAAAGGGAAGCGAGCAAATATGGGCATGAGATTATTCTAAAAATTCGTTATAATATGTCATGAAATATGCTATTGAGTTAAACATAATTTTTAGTATACACATAGAAAATGATTTTACTTTGATAATGTTGGATCAACAAGTAGCGAATCAAGTAACTTAGAGAATATTCGTTGATCTGAAGAAGTTAGATAAATACCGTAATTAAATGTTCTTGAGAGCAAAGCATTTTATTAAACAGTTGCTTTCTAAGGGATGACGACTCTCATTAGAACAAAACATTTTTGGTATCTGATTCAATATACCTTTTCTGTGTAATTGGCCATTGCTCTCTTGATTTTGGCACAGAAGATCCTACTGTGCCAGACGGGCACCGGGCACAGAGGTCTTACTTCACGCTCCAAGCTTGTTCCAACTGGGTCGGTGCCACGCTGATGAGAGATACCTGGTTGGGGAAACCCCACTGGCTGACAGTAGGTCTGCGCCGGATCTCGCCATCCACCTGGGCAAAATCTCCGCCGCGGGGCAAAATCATCGCAAAAACACAGAGTACACTTACGGGACTAATGACCGTGTCAGTTGACGCGCCCGAATAACTAATAATCAGTGAAACAACCTTCACGCTCCAACCAAAATAATTTCCATTATGTACCAATAATGGTATTATTCTTTGTTACCCTCCATCCTGACCAACGCCGCCGACACCGTTGCCACCACCTTCACTGCCTCCATCCCCTCCTCCATCGCACGGAGAGATCATTGACACAGAAACCGGCGCAGGAGGAAAACAAACACCCCTACCTCCCCCTCCAGCCGTCGTTGCTCCTCGCACGGCACCCCACTCGGCAGCGCGCCTCCCACTCCGCCGGACGCTCCCACCACCAGCACCACTCCCACCCCCACCGCCGGCGCCTCGACCGCCACCTCCTCCTCCTCCGCCGCCGCCGCCTCCTAACCCATTTGCGGTCGCAGTCGAGAAAGTTGCGAACTTCGCGAGGACTGTTGGTTGGGCCAGCGGGGGCGGAGGGGGAGGGGCGGTGGCCCCTCCCGCATCTGCAGGTCGTTCACCCCGCGCCGCCGCCGCCGCCGCCACCGCCACCGCCGCTCCGCGGGCCGCCAAAACGCGCCCC